GACTAGAACCTCCCTTTTGATTGAGGCATCTCCAGCTCTGCAAGGAAGCATAGCAGGGTTCGAGACATAGTTTGTCAAAATCCGAGACAAGTCCACATTCTCTTTTTCGAGAAGCCGTATGCGCTCAGCGGATTCCTGCAAACTCTTCACCAATCCTTGCGGGTCCTGACATTGGGCCAACAACGCCTTCGCCTCATCCAGCTGCTTCTGCAGATCATCATAGCCCTGGATCTTTTGGAAGTCTTCAGCACTCAAACGATATCTAAGATTGTTTCTTCGGCTCTCATACCTGAGGCCGCATTGCGGACCGCAAAACTTTGACAGATGTTTTGGAATATAGAGTGTATGCAATATGAAAGGCCTCATACCCAACATTATTCAGTTCGTCAATATGGCATCCCGTATGGCTGGGCCAGAGCATGGCTAAGGACTCTTGCGGGTTTGGGTTGGAAACTCCAAGTTGCTTTTTGTGGGCAGCTTTTTTTCTGCTCATCATCCTTCTTCACGGGTGTGTCCGCAACAACCTGCTCTGATGATCTCTTTGACTTGCTCCGGCCCGCAGCATCGCTCTTCGATGTCTTGCTCTGGCGGCAGGTGGACATGCTGAAGCTCTGAGCCTGAGAACCTTTACTATATACCTGCTTGTCCATGGCCATCAATGGTTGGACGCGGCAGTGATTCAAACAATGAGTCATCCATGAAAAACACGCAAGTACTAACTTGGCGTGATTCCTGGAGATGTAGCCCTAGTAAGGGAGGTTCTACTGGTCCGTGTTCATCTTAGCTGACTGCGCAAAATCCTTGTTTGAAATGGAAAAGTGGCAAAGGATGCGGCGGAGGCATTCCCACATGTTCCAAGGTCAGATAATCAGAAGAGTCGGTGACCACGCATGACTGATGACGCAACATGACGCTTCTGGAAATTCTAGGCAACCGAGCTCTGTCGAGAAGCACGCGATCCTGCTATCTCTAGCCTGCAGAATGTCGAGAACCCAAGAAAAATGACAAGACAGGGGCCCGAATTGGAGGCTCGAACTTCGAGTAAATGCGCAGAGCTTGCATGTCTTGCTTGCTACATCCCTGACAGGCATTGTTCAACGCTGTGCATACCAATTGATCTTAGCAGTATATACCTGCATTTGTTTCGTGGAGCTTGGGCTCCGAATCCGGGCCCCGAATCCGGGGCCCGAATCTTCGAACATCAGGCGACCACACTCAACTTGAATTTGAACCATGCTTGTTACATCTCTGAGGCATAGTTTGCAAGGCTGCACGTACAATATACCCATTTCATGGAGATTGGGCTCCCCATCCGGGCATCTTCGAACATCAGGCGACTACGCTCAACTTGAATTTGAACCATGCTTGTTACATCTCTAAGGCATAGTTTGCAAGGCTGCACTTACCATATACCCATTTCATGGAGATTGGGCTCCCCATCCGGGCCCCGAATCCGGGGCCCGAATCTTCGAACATCAGGCGACTACACTCAACTTGAATTTGAACCATGCTTGTTACATCTCTAAGGCATAGTTTGCAAGGCTGCACTTACCATATACCCATTTCATGGAGATTGGGCTCCCCATCCGGGCCCCGAATCCGGGGCCCGAATCTTCGAACATCAGGCGACTACACTCAACTTGAATTTAACCCATGCTTGCTACATTTCTAAGGCATAGTTTGCAAGGCTGCATATACGATATACCCATTTCATGGAGATTGGGCTCCCCATCCGGGCCCCGAATCTGGGCCCCGAATCCGGGGCCCGAATCCGAGGCCCGAATCAGAGGTTCGAACTTGGAGCGACTACACTCAACTTAAGTTTAAATCATGTCTCTTAGGCATACCATATACCCGCCAAGTGTATTTTAAGGAGATTAGGCTCCGAATCCGGGCCCCGAATCCGGGGCCCGAATCGGAGATTCGAACTTCCAGGCTTCGAGCGACTATGTTCGGCTTGAATTTAAGTCATGCTTGCTACATTTAAGTCATGCTGTATGCATATCCATGTTTGAATTTTGGGCGTGAAGTGGTGCATTTATTTTGTAGCAACTATTTCTGGTTCACAAGCACAGCCGCTTTAGAATGGAATTCGTTTACTTTAAAATGACCCTTTCATAGCACAAAATCTCTTTCCGACTTGCACCCCTTCCTGGGTTTAGAATGACTTTTGGAACAGATGCCAGGCATCACTTCACCAGGCAGCACTTGCTTTAAAACGGGTACTGTAGTTTTTAGTAGGTTTAACTTGCTTTAAAATGGGTATTGTAGTTTTTAATCGGTTTTGGAAACCTGTAGAAACCACCATCATTTGACAAAAAAAACTGCTGACTCATTTCAATCCCAAACATTCGATTGCCGCTGCAATGTTCGCACACAAGCTCTGCCGCTCTGCGTGTTGACTACCAAAAAAATCTTAGGCAAAAACTTAACTATCTCAGCACCTCTTTTTTTAATCTTCTTCCATTGAAAGCCATTGCTCGCAACTACCAAAAAACGCCTGGGCAAGAACTTAACTTTCTGAGTCTTCCATTGAAAGCCATCGCCCGCAACTCAACGCCTAGGCAAAGACTTAACTTTCTCAGTTTCCCTTTTTTAAACCTTCTTCCATTGAAAGCCATCGCCTGCAACTACCCAAAAACGCCTAGGCAAAAACTTAGCTTTCTCAGTACCTCTTTTTTTAACCTTTGGTTCGAGCATTGTGATGAACTCACAGAAATCAAACATGGTGCGCTGACAGTGGGCAGCTCCAACAGATTTCTTGGTCAGCAGCTGCTTCCATAATCGCCTATCAACCATTGTGGCTGGTTATTGTGGTTATTGTAGGTCATTGCTATTATCAACTGATAAGCCGCGAATTCAACAGTGATCAGCCATGGAGTTTCCATGTTTTTTTTCACCAACTAAGTTTTAATCTAGCTAATACTGACTTGATAACTATTTTATTACAATTGTACTAGTATGATTTGCCACGAAGTACCCATGATCGATCAGGGGTAGTGTTATCCAGAGTGGTCAAAGTGTGCTTTGATTTTTTGGTGATTGACAATTTGCTGTAAGAATGTGGTATCCCGACATGTGACAACCCATCCAAATCTGGGATTCAACCTGCACCTTCAGAACGGATTTCCGAAGGGTATTGTGTGCAGCCAAGATATGAGGTCAGGCTCCATGTCTTTGTTCAAACGGGTCCATACAAAACTCGTCAGGCAGCCAGCATCTAAAAACCCCATCCAACTTCGGGGGGAACGGAGTAAGGATCTATACCCATTTCTTTAAACGGGGAACCCCTAAAATCCAATGGTCTTAGAAAAGACTTTCTCTCCAAGAAAAAAATTAAATGGGGGATGCATATACATATGCAGTTACACTGGCCTGTGTCTATTACATCATATGTTTTTATATATATATAGGATCAAGGCTTGTGGTGCTCCAAAACCCACAATTTCGTCTCCTTTGGGGCGCTTTGGGAGTGGAAGCCTGGGTGGGGTGGGGTGGGGTAGGTAGGGTAGGTAAGGTAGGTAAAGTTAAGGTAAGGTAAGGTAAAGTTAAGGTAAGGTAAGGTAGGTAAGGTAGATAGGTAGATAGGTAGATAGGTAGATAAGTAGGTACGGTAGAGACATAGATGGGTATGTTTATGTATGTAGGTATGCTTTGCACTGACTATACAACTATTAATCTATCTATCTATCTATCTATCTATCTAAACTAAACTAATCTAGTCTAATCTAACCTTACATATCTAATCTAATCTATCTATCTATCTTTCTATCTATCTATCTACCTATCTATCTATCTATCCTATCCTATCCCATCCTATCCTATCTATTTATCTTTCTTTCTATCTACCTATCTATCTATCTACCCATCTTTCTATCTATCCATCTATCTATCTACCTATCTATCTATCCTATCCTATCCTTTCCTATCCAATCACATCCTATCCTATCCTATTTATCTATCTTTCTATCTACCTATCTATCTACCTATCTATCTATCTATCCACCTATCCATCTATCTATCTATCTATTTTTCTTTCTTTCTATCTATCTATCTTTTTATCTATCTATCTATTCATCTATCCATCTACCCATCTATCCATCTATCCATCTATCCAAATATACAAATCTAATCTATCTAATCTAATCTATCTAATCTAATCTAATCTATCTAATCTATCTAATCTATCCAATCTATCTAATCTATCTAATCTATCTATCTATCTAATCCATCTACCAATCTATCAATCTATCAATCTATCAATCTATCAATCTATCAACCTATCAACCTATCAATCAGTCTATCTATCTATCTACCTATCTATCTATCTATCTATCTATCTGATCTATCTGTCTGTCTGTCTATCTATCTATCTACCTATCTACCTATCTACCTATCTACCTATCTATCAATCTATCAACCCATCAATCCATCAACCCATCAATGCATCAATCTATCTATCTATCTATCTACCTATCTATCTACCTATCTATCTATCTAGCGATCTTTCTATCTATCTATCTATCTATCGATCTATCTATCTATCTCTCTATCTATCTATCTATTTATCTATCTATCTATCTATCTCATCTTTCTTTCTTTCTTTCTATCTAATCTAGTCTAGTCTAGGCTAGTCTTGTCTAATCTAATCTAATCTCTCTATCTATCTATCTGTCTATCTTTCTATCTATCTAATCTATCTATTTATCTGTCTATCTATCTAGCTAGCTATCTATCTAATCTCATCTATCTATCTATCTATCTGTCTATCTATCTATCTATCATGTCATATCATCTATATAATTTCATATCATATCATATCATGTCATATTGCAAATCTGTCATATCATATCATATCATATCATATCATATCATATTTGAAATCAGATCATTTTATATATATATACACACATAGATGGATAGACATGTACGCATATGCTCATGCTGTTAAAAATTTATATCTGAGATCGCCAGGGGCTAACTCTTTGCCGTCCAGCAGCGGAGATTGACGTGCCATCTTGTAGTCCGCGTAGCTCATGATCCGCATCAAAAGCCTCACGGTGGACACAAATCAGTGGAGCTGCCCATCGGGTGTGAGCCACTGATCATAGCATGCACCCTAGTATATCCAACATGTTTGTGCATACATATATATATATATTACTTATTGCTTTGGCCTCTTTCTGTGTTAGGGGCCATAGCTACCCAGGATCTATTTGTAGAATCCTAGGAACTATTTACAGAATCCCAGAAACTATTTATAGAATCCCAGAAGCTATTTACTGCATTATACTGATACTGGCGTTTATTTGTTTCCAAACTCCTGGGCCTATTTATAAAAAAGAAAAACATAGTGAGGCCAAAGCAGTCACCAAACCATCTGTCTACAATAATAGTACGCTTGCGGGTTTTGGGCCGGTGTCTTAAGCTACCCCGACTTTTGGTGGTTTATTATTGAATATGATTCCCATACTCTAAGTTTAAGATCACCAGAATGAAGATATTCTTTTACATTAAATTTTCAGCCCATAGAGCATTCATGCAGTATACATGCCTCTGCTACAGGTACAGTACATACCACGAAATGACTTGATGATTCGTGTAAACATACGATTCGATTCAGTGTGCTTCACTGTGTTTGTGCTTCAGAAAATACGAAATTCTGAAACCACAAGTCGGTTGAATTTGCTTACACGTGTATGAACTGAATTGAAGGGAGTTGAAAATGTAGCTATGGCTAATGACCAAGTAACTTCTGGAAGTTCAGAAGTAGAACATACATACTTGATAACTTTATGGATCAGGATGGTGTGGAACAGCTCCAATCTATCTTTAAAATCCTGTATGTAGTTCAACATCCAGGCTGGTAAATATATCAGAACGTCTTGGAACGATTGTGATTTATTAATATTTATATATTTATCTGTCCAAGTTTTTAAATAGATCAGAACGGTTTGGAACGGTTCCGATCTACAGTATCTATAAAATCCTGTATGTAGGCAGTCTTGCAGATAGATCGGAACGGTTTCGAACGGTTCCGTTCTATTTATACATCCGTTTTTAAAAATAGATCAGAACGGTTTGGAACGGTTCCAATCTATTTTTACATCCGTTTTTAAAAATAGATCGATCAGAACGGTTTGGAGCGGTTCCGATCTATTTTTACATCCTTTTTTACAAATAGCTCAGAACGGTTTGGAACGGTTCCGATCTATTTATACATCCATTTTTAAAATAGATCAGAACGGTTTGGAAAGGTTCCGATCTACTTATAAACTCGGAACTATTTGGAACTATTTGGATCTATTTTTTTCGTATAAATAGATCAGAACGGAGTTGAACGGTTCGGAACGTTTCCGATCTATTTATAAAATGCGACGTATCAATAGATCAGAACGGTTTGGAACGGTTCCGATCTATTTATAAACCCTGTATTACCTTGAAATAGATCAGAACGGTTCGGAACGGTTCCGATCTATTTATAGACGCTGTACGTATAAATAGATCGGAACGGTTTGGAACGGTTCCGATCTATTTATAAAACCCGTAAACTACAAAGAGTTATAAATAGATCAGAACGGTTTGGAACGGTGTCGATCTATTGTTAATCTTTGCTGCCTTCTCAACTGTTTCTAAATCCCAAATCACAAATCAAAACCAAGAACTAACCCAGCGTTAGCCCTGAAAAAGCGAGATCCAGGATATGATATGTGGACCTATTACTGAAAACTCATTTACAATTTTTGCTGAACCTGCGTGTGAACTCAACACAAATCAAAAAAAATGATCTTCAAACCCAATCGGCCTTCTGTCAGGTTTGGAAGTTGGTCCGTCTAGTTTTTTCTGGTATTTTTAGTACACTTCTGCAATCAATATCTGCTGAGTAACGACCAAAGAAACAAATTGAATGTCCAAAATCCCTCAGTCTGCAAAAGGTTCATGATTTCCGGTTCGGTGTCCAAAAGTTGGGTTTTCTAGTCAAACGGTCGACCCGAACTTGTCCCGGCAGTACTTGACAAAGTGTGTTTTCTCTAGGACGGTGGAATGTTTGCAGATATCCTTTCTTGGGCTGGGGTCTGCTAAGATGATCTACAAATAGTTCCTGAGATTTTACAAATAGTTCCTGGAATTCTATAAATAATTCCTGCAATTTTGCTATTCATAGCGAATAGAAGCTCCAAAAAACCTGTCGCCGAAAGGGCGACGACACCCTTCTCGGCAATCCGAAACCCCAAAGTCCGGAAAACCCGTCACCGAGAAAGTTCTGGCAGTACCAGATACCGAAGTCTTAGGTTGCAAAAACGAGACTTTCGATTTCAGGGGCTGCCTTGAACTTACAGCCTGAATCGGGTGATTGTTGTGGCCTCTCTACGTGGAATCTCACAAGCCACAAGATATGGTGTCCTTGTCAAGAAAGGCCCTGCGAAAAAAAACACTCGTCCAACAGACAATCGCATCCAGGTGATGATGCGTAGTCACAGTCAGGTCCTTGCAAACTATCAGCAGGTATGCCGCGCTTTGGTTTTGAGAACTTGTATGCTCCGCCGCAGTTAGATCATTGCGTGTCTTGGGAAGTTTGCCAGTTTGTCGCTCATTTTGCTAACCATAGAAACAGTGGAGTCTTGACCATTCTGATTTCTGCTTTTCCTTTTTACAATACGACATGGTCACTCACGCTGACCCTGATGCTACTGTTCACATGTTGGACTCACCCGAAAATTTTCATTCAATGTTGGCTCATTTTTTTCGATATGTGAACCCCTGGCATCTCAACTATGGAACCTCTGATCATGTGAACTATATTGAGTAATTACTGACATTTACTGAGTTCAACTTCGCGCCGCGGAGTTGCATTTAAACAGAGGCAAACAGTAAACTGTCAAAAGTCTCATGGACATGACGAATGACGCAATTTGTGATACGAGGGTGGCTGGAGGACATATTTGGTTCCTTTGCCAGCACCAGCACAGCCTTCAATCAAGTTCACCATTTGCATGGCCGCCCTTTTGGTACGCTGCTGCCTAGGATTGTGAGATAGGATACGATAGGGTATCATAATCTTTGGAACATTTTGCATGCACACAGCCAACCAAAACAAACAACCATATAATGATGAATATGACATGACATGACATGACATGACATGACTTGACTTGACTTGACTTGATTCATGACAGGACTCATGACATAAAACTAAAAACAAATTATATACATTCAGTTGCAGTCGACATACCGTAAAACTAGCTACATTCCCCAGGACAAGGAACGCTGTTTGTTTTGGGTCTCAGATTGGGGTTTGCTTGCCTTTGTGGCACAGGTGGTGTTTTTGCGCGCTTGGGCCTACACTTATGAAGAACCGAGCCAGCTACACATTGGAAATCTTTAAAATATTTATTTTTTCATTTTTTTATCATTTTGGTTATCATTGCATTCATCATTTTTTATCATTTATTTTATCATCTTCATTTTTTTATCATTTTTTAAATCATTTTTTCATCATTTTTTTATCATTTTTTTATCATTTTTTTTATCATGTTTCATCATTTTTGCTTCCAGTGGTGGAATTGATGAAAAATGATAAAAAGTGATGAAAAATGATAAAAAAATGATAAACAAATGAAAAAAAAATGATAAAAAAATGAAAAAAAATATATATAAAAATCGAGGAAAATTGCAATTTTCCAAAAAAATGAAAAATTGCAATTTTCCTCGAGTTTTTTCATTTTTTTTCATTTTTTTTCATTTTTCCATTTTTTTATAATTTTTCATCATTTTTGCTTCCAGTGGTGCAAAAATTTTCCAAGAAATGGAAAATTACAATTTTCCTCGAGTTTTTTTCATTTTTTTTTCATTGTTTTATCTTTTTTTATCATTTTTTATCATTTTTTAAACATTTTTGCTTCCAGTGGTGGAACTGATGAAAAATGATAAAAAATGATGAAAAATGCTAAAAAACTGATAAAAAAATGAAAAAAAATGATAAAAAAATGAAAAAAATAATAAAAAAAACTCGAGGAAAATTGCAATTTTCCAAAAAATGAAAAATCACAATTTTCCTCGGGTTTTTTTCATTTTTTCATTTTTTTTTCATTTTCATTTTTTTTTCATTTTTTTCCATTTTTTTTTCATTTTTCATCATTTTTGCTTCCAGTGGTGCAAAAATTTTGCAAGAAATGGAAAATTACAATTTTCCTCGAGTTTTTTTCATTATTTTTATCATGTTTTTACCATTTTTTATCATTTTTGCTTCCAGTGGTGGAACTGATGAAAAATGATAAAAAATGATGAAAAATTTGAAAAAAATGATAAAAAATGAAAAAACATGATAAAAAAATGGAAAAAATGAAAAAAAAACGAGGAAAATTGCAATTTTCCAAAAAATAAAAAATTGCAATTTTCCTCGGTTTTTTTCATTTTTTTTTCATTGTTTTTTCATTTTTTCATTTTTTTATCATTTTTTTATCATTCTTCATCATTTTTGCTTCCAGTGGTGCAAAAATGTTCCAAGAAATGGAAAATTACAATTTTCCTCGAGTTTTTTTCATTTTTTTTTATCATTTTTTTATCTTTTTTTATCATTTTCGCTTCCAGTGGTGGAATTGATGAAAAATGATAAAAACTGATGAAAAATGATAAAAAAAATGATTAAAAAAATGAAAAAAAAATGATAAAAAAAAACGAGGAAAATTGCAATTTTCCAAAAAATGAAAAATCGCAATTTTCCTCGAGTTTTTTTCATGTTTTTTCATTTTTTTTCATTGTTTTATCATTTTTTTATCATTTTTGCTTCCAGTGGTGGAATTGATGCAAAATGATAAAAAAATGATTAAAAAAAAGAAAAAAATGGAAAAAAATGAAAAACTCGAGGAAAATTGTAATTTTCCATTTCTTGGAACATTTTTGCACCACTGGAAGCAAAAATGATGAAAAATGATAAAAAAATGATTAAAAAATGAAAAATGATAAAAAAAAATGATAAAAAATGATTTAAAAAATGAAGATGATAAAATAAATGATAAAAAACAATGATGAATGCAATGATAACCAAAATGATAAAAAAATGAAAAAATAAATATCTTGACCTGGCCCAGTCTGTGGCTGCAAGTTTTTCATAAGCCTACACTTTGGGGCGTGCTTTCCTTTCTGGAACTGCTGCTGGTGGTGGTGGTGGTGCTGGGGTGCTGGTGCTGGTGCTGTTGAAGTTTGTCCAACGCGTTGGCTTGGGCTGGGTGCGCTGTGGCTTTTGCTCCTGCGAACTTTGATTCACCGCGTTTTCTTCTGGCCGACCCGGGTGTGAATTGTTTTTTCTTTTTTGGCCTGATTGGTCTCCATGGCTCAGAAAGGTTGGAAATGATTTGATTGCATTTTGCATCTTTTCCGCTGCATGATGCACCAAAACCGGCTGGTGCTGTTTTTTATTCATTGGCTCATTGAACCATATTTTTTTGGTTCTGGTATATTTGACATGGCTCTTGATATGATTGGCCGATTGCTTTATCAAATCGACAAGGTATTTTTATGCCCAGGCGCTTGTTTCCACGCAGGAGATTCCCAAGTTTAGCAAGGCAACATGTTGGCATGTTATGGATGCACATATCCCATACCATAACTCATGAGTACTGTCATTTCCATATACCCACAATGGGGACGCACTGGTAGGGCTGAAATCAGTTGGACTCAGCACTGAAGGGCATTTAAGTGTTGTGTTGCTGTTTTCCCTTTAGCTAGCCTGTGCTAACTCATCATCATATTTCCCTCGATAACTGCCCTCAATATAATGCATGTTTTTTCAAGTAGTTCCTGGAACTCTGCAAATAGTTCCTGGAAATCTGCAAATAGTTCCTGGGTCCAAAAAAACCGATAGTAATATATATATATATATGTATGTGTGTGTGTGCGTGCACATATGTTAAACAAAGTGCCAATGAACTGAGCAACCCATCAAAATCCTCATGGCTGATGTATAATCGTATATATGTGTATAATTGTGCATAGATATATACATACGTTACATTACCGTTACATATTATTGCATGTCATGTGTATACTACAAATCGAATGCTGTTCTGCATGTCCAAGCCCACTGGGCCAGCGAACCAACAACTGCCGAGCGTCTCTGTAGGAACCGCTTTTGTTTGGAGAAAAATCCTCAACTCACGCCGCTTTCCTGAGTGCAGCCGATGCCTGTGATGCGAAGCCCATGCGCTGTGCAGGGCATCTCCAAATTGTCCGAAGTATCAAACGGAAACCTCAAAGAATAACTTTGGAAATGGTTGGACCACAATATTCCTGTGTATCAAGTCGCTTTGCTTCCATGGATCCAATGTCTTCTTATTGTGATTCTACGGTGCAACGACATGGCTTTTCTGGCTCTGATCCATGGATCCGGTCCCAACAGTCACCGCAGCCGGGTCACGACTCCGCTCGTTGTTGACCTGTCGTATCTCATGCAGTGTCCCGGTCAGAATGGACAAAGCGGAGCCAATCACCAGCACCTCGATGCAAATGCAGCTTCCGATGACTTCACCACTGCACATCACTACACCTCCACGTGACAGCTTCTCACGTGACATTGCTGAGTACCCGGCGGTGATAACGAAAAGAACGATGCACATCATCATCTCTATCCCGCTGTCCTGGTGAGGCAAGGTACTGTAAACGACTGTAAAGCACAACTCAAAAGTGCCGAGATTCTCCAAAGCTTCTCACCTGCTTAACGCCACGGTCTAGTCAGACTCAAGCACTGTCCAGCGTCTTGCTATTTAAAGTCATTTAAAATCTGTGACTTCCCCCTTCTAAATTCGCCAATTGCACAGTCGCAGCGCCAGAATCACAATGCTGATGTCCAAGCTACTGGCTCGACCATAGGCGGTGCTGGTGGCAGAAGAATCCAGGCAAGGGCGTGGGAGTACTGCACATAGCCACTACTGTTTCGGATAAGGAGAACGTCAATCCTCATAGGGCCGTGAGAAATTACCACCTATTGTAGAAACTCAAATCAATGACTGAACCCCTTTCACTATGACAATGACCGAGGGATTTTGCCTTGGGTTTGTCAAGTTACAGGCCATAGCCTAGCTGAAACAGCATTGACCACAGTGAAGAAACAAGTAGTCCATGGGAATGAAGGCTTCACCCTGGGAACAAATCACAGGCTATGTATATCTATGTGTAGCAATCACTTCTGCAAGATTCTGCAAGTATACGTTGTCTGCTTCTGGGTTGACCTCCTGACAGCCCGGCCAAGTCACCGAGGGCGGCAAATTAAAATTATCTAGGAATCTAGGGTAACTGCACCAATGTCAAGAAACAAGTCTGATTAGGTGCCAGTGGGCACCAGCAACACATTATTTATTGCAAATCACTAAGCACTAAGCAATCACTAAGTCACTCTTCAGTAGCACATCTTGTCAATCAGTCAGTTGTCTACTCAGCCATCGGACAAGATGGACCTTATTCTCATTCAATCACTCGCTGGTCATAAGGCATGAGCCCTGCAACCAGGCAGCCAGCTCCCTCCACCATTGCTTTCCGAAACTGCCTCCCGTTCCGGGGGTCTTGTTCGCAAACAAACTTTGGGTTCCAAATGTAGATCCGGTGGGGATGACAGCCTTGCTAGAGCGACTTGCTGAGACTTTGAACCATAGAATGATCAGAATGAATCATGCCTCCTATATTCAGGCTGAGACGTATTTCCGTGCATATGTACACACACAGATATATGATATAATATATATATACGTATGTATGTACTGTACTGTACTGTAATGTACATGCGCATGCGCATGCACATGCACATGTACATATGCATATAATATACAGACACATATACAAATACATATACAATCATAGACGTCACTTATGTGTGTGTGTGAACATTTACATATACACAATTATACACACATATACGATCATATTTACGTGTGTGTGTGTACCATCTGAATAGATGTAAAACTTCTAATTTGCAGGGGGTCACCGGGGTCCCGGGGGGGTCGGTGACCAACGAAGACACCTCCCCGGGACCCGTGCAAACGTACCTGCAGGACTCCGGTGGTGCACCTGGGCGCAATTATAAGTCGCAGCTGGTGGCCACCGGAGTCCTCTATATATATTTTTTTTTCATTTCTCCTGTTAGGTTTAACTGTGTTGTCTTTGCACGTCCGATGCATTCCACATCAGTAATTCGATAAGACGTTTCTGAGCAAGTGTGTCACTCATACCGTTGTCCGACAAGGTGGTATGAGCCCTTCGGGGAAAGCCTTTCTAGGCTAACAATTGACGGTAACACGATGTCTGAATTTACAATTTTGAATTGGTAATTCGTTTAAGTAAAGTGAACTGCTGGCCTTTTTCCTGGTTTCACCCGTCGGTCGTGAAGTGTGTGTTGAACAATTGGCCGCCGTGTGGCTTCATTTTTTCAGTGGATTTCTCACTGCATAGCCTGAAGCCACGTCAACAACCTTCCTTTTCAGTGTCGCTCAAGAGACTGCTCGCAGCCATTTTGACATGAACAGGTAACAGGACATGCTTTACAGGTGTGGTCTTTTTCCTTTTGGTTGCTTTGGTGAGGTTGAAATTGTGCACTTAATTCAGGGGTTGAATACTTAAGCCGTCCAGAGGGTTGTGACTTGAACTCTGGCCATTGAGCCTAATGAGGGGATTCCTGCATGAATTGTGGTTGCACCATTTTTTAACTAGTCCCCATGGGTCCCCTTTCTCATGTTTCTGCGTTCTCCTCCCTTCAGGTAGGTTGGGTCCTGCGCGTGCCGAGGTAGGCTTAGGTTTCGCTTTGTTAGGTTGGTTCAGGCGCTTCCGTCCTCCCCCTCCTCCGCTGGTCTGGTTGCGTGTCCGTCGGCCTTCGCTTTTCTTTTTCCTTGCCTTTTCAGGGTTTTGCCCGTTTTGGGGTAGGTGTGTTGTGTTGGTGTTTGCTCCTTCCCTCTTCTCTTGCGTTCCCCTCTTCGCGTCCTGGTTAAGTAACTTTCATTCCATTTTCACCTTCATTTCATTTTCATCCTCATCTCATCCGCCCCGCTGTGGCGGGGCGTGTGTGTGTACCATCTGAATAGATGTAAAACTTCTAATTTGCAGGGGGTCACCGGGGTCCCGGGGGGGTCGGTGACCAACGAAGACACCTCCCCGGGACCCGTGTAAACGTACCTGCAGGACTCCGGTGGTGCACCTGGGCGCAATTATAAGTCGCAGCTGGTGGCCACCGGAGTCCTATATATATATTTTTTTTTCATTTCTCCTGTTAGGTTTAACTGTGTTGTCTTTGCACGTCCGATGCATTCCACATCAGTAATTCGATAAGACGTTTCTGAGCAAGTGTGTGTCTGTCTGCATGTGCATGCAGCATTTCAGAGTGGTCTCGCTTTGTAAAAAGTCACTTGAGGCAAAAAAAACATGTATGCCATTGCACACTTGCAAACGAGTTTTAAGTGATCCTTGTGGTCATTTTTAAGCCAACCTTTTTTGCTGTGATTGGGGATGAATGGTCTTCAAAGGCTGCTTGGCATATCTATTTCCGTGTCGCTTTAAGGTCATTCTTGCGCTTCTTTGCTTAGCTAAGTGGCCTGATACCCCCACGGTGATGCTGCTTTGTAATCTTTGTGCTTAGGCTACTTAGGCGACCTTTTTTGTGGTTTCAGCACGTTGCGGTTTCATTAAGCGACCTCCTTCCCAAAGACCACTAACCGTCACTCACTAACCTTTAATTAGGCCGCGCCTGACCCAGGCCAAACCAGATGCACGCCAGGATATGCGCCACCATTCCGATGGACAACAACATCCGTCCCACTGTAAAGGCCAGGATAAGCCATTGCCGTCCCATGGAGATGACCTGGTGATCCATGGGACATCATGGGACATCATGGGACCATATGGGACCCATGGGCTCACCCCCCCAAGTTCGGGAAATCGTGGAGACACCCACGACGCCTTGTGCTTTGGTGGCTGCGGTACCTTTGGTGACTCAATGGCCACAAATTCCAATGGATGTTGATTCAATATTATTTACCAGTATGTGCAGGGGTGCCAAAAAAATGGGGATGGGTCAAACCTTTGGGGGATGAACATCTGGTATTCACATGTATTCACCAAGGGCCTTGACTCATAGCCATATCCTTGTTTATTGGGTGGTGATCCCCGTTACATCCCGTTACAGTATATTAGATCTCCATAGGCTCTATCATCAACTCAGTTTTTGGTTGAAAATAAATCCCCACAATCGCATTGTTTTTTCATAAGTTTCTCACTTTCCTCACTATCTCCATCAATCTTCGTGCGGCCGAAACACCAGGTTCTCGATCAGTAGGTTGATCTTTCCAGCCTTCAAAATCCGAAAGATTCGAAGCGTTCCTCGGAACTCAGGCCAGGAGAAGAGGAACAAAAAAGCCCTGAACTCATGGGTTTGTATAGTGTTATATATAAGTTATATAGTAACTGTTATAGAGCAAGTGGCTATGAACACATATGAACACATGTATGCTGCACCGAGTAATTACTGTATCACATATTATCATTTGTAGGAATCGGAATGCACTCGAGCATTATCTGAAAGGCGTATTTTGCCTCCGATGTCCAGTGGACTCTGGGAAAAGGGGAGGCGAACCACGTTAGCTCGTGGCGTGCAGTCTTTGGAATTACAGGAGGAGTAAAAACAAGAACCATCATTGGAGCATTTGCAACTCGCTCGGTGAGGGAGTGTCATGGTCGGAAGGTGAATTGCTCGTGTCATATGTTGCAACAGGGCTTAGAAAAACTATGAAAAACTCTAGCAAGCTGGGCATGACCACAAGCCCTCCCATATTGCTGGGTTGCCAAGTTTCGCAAGATACGCAGGTATCTGGCAGACCGCAGGGACTGCAGGAATTCTTGAGACTCCTGGTGCGATCAGATGATGAGGGTTGCCAAGGCTGCCCCATATGGTCCCGTCCTCCGTCTCTCCACCCCCCCCCATGGGTTGGGTCCCCAGGTAGCAGCCCCAATTCCCTTCTATTTGCAAGCTATTGGCAGCATTTCTGAGGTCCAGCTGCGTATTTTCTAGGTCTTTGCAGCATTTCTGACTACCAGCCTCGCATTTACTAGATACATGCTACCTTTTAGGCGGCCTACGTAGCACACATACTCCTGCAAAGTACCTACGTGCTACCTATAGTCATATATACATGTGCTATGTATCTACTGTATCTACTTCCTATTTACTACCTGTGTACTCTGACAACACTACCTGTGTTTAACATATACCGTACCTACCATACATGTCAATGATGCCGAGCATACCATACCTATCATATCTTTCATACATACCATACATACCATACATATGAAATGTAATTACCACACCTACGTACACCTACCATACATACAATAGCAAACATACATGCCATACATACCACACCTACCTTACATAGGAAATATTCCATACCCATCATAGTAACCATACATACCATACAGACCATACATACTGTCATATCAAACATACCATACCCAACAGACTTACATACCATACCTACCATCCATACAATACCAACCACTCATGCCATACATACCATACCTACCATGCATACCAAACATACCATACTTTCCAAACATGCCATACCAGACCGACCATACACACCATACATACCCAACATACCATACCACACCCCCACCACACCACAGGGGGGGGAGGGGGACAGTGCCACACCCCCACCACACCACAGGGGGGGGGTGAGGTAGCTTTTCCCTCTATTAGGGGAGCCCTGGAAACCTAAATAAACACCTGTGGCAAGCGGAAGCGACTACACTCTTTTTGTACACGCGGAATTGCTGCTAGTCTTGAGCCATGCGGAGTGCGCATGAGAGATATGAATTCAGTATACATGTCAACATGCATGAATGCATTGTGAAGACACGTAAACAAAAATAAATCACAAACAGACACAAATTTTCTTCGTGTCGGAACATGCAAGTCTGTTTCACAGGTAGCGCTCAGCCTGTGATCTGCTGTGAGACGGTCCGAAGACAAAAACAAAACTGTACAGAAGCTACTCTCCGCTGTTGGAAAGCGGTATTTTCTATTGGACGAAAGCGACCGCAAATGCGGAACATTGCAATTTTTTGGGGCTACAAGCCCATAGTGAAATAGTAACCGTAAAAACTCAATTCGTTCCTCCTTCTTAGCTCACCGGTCTGATGAAAGAAAATGGACTGATCCGGTGTCTGCGGGATCATGTCAAGCCACGATCCGTCATATTTCTGGACCCAACGCTGTCTGGGTATCTGGTACCCTGGGACGTATTCTACTTGAGTGGTGTTGGGATTTACTCTGTAGTGCGACGGCTGATCATAGTTGTAATCGTAATTACGAGATACGGAAGAGCTGGAAGCTGTTCCTTGGTTAAGCCATTGTGTACCCGATATTCGGGATGGAGGCGCCGGAGGTTCAGGTACGTTGATCGGCCTTTTTCTGGTCGTTTGCCTCTGCTCAGTCTGCTGAGATCTCTCTCTCCACGGCGGTGGAGTCTTCGGCGGTCCCGGTGGATCAGGAGGCGTTCTTGGCTGCTGTGCACCTAGTGTTCGTCCGGGAGCCGGAACTGGAGGAGCCTTTACAGGCGGCCTAGCACTAGAGGAAGATCCTGATGACGTCGGAGCTGGTGGTTCTTTCAAGGATCTCGGTGCAGCTTTATATTTCACAGGTTCAACTGGTCTGGCCTTTGCTGCTGGACCTCGCACAGGTGCCGGAGGCGGTGCTGGTGTTTCAGCTCTGGGTCGATATGTTCTGGTTCTGCTGATCGATCGACTTCGAGTGCGTCCAACATTTCTGTGAGAGTCAGTCCGCAGCGGCGGAACACTATCTCTCCTCTCTTCTCGTTTTTCGAGATATCCTTGAGTTCGCTGCATCCATTTTTCACGTCTTTTATCTTCAGATTCCTTGGATCGGATGCGCATATTTTTCAATGCCTTCAACTGGGCGTAAGCAAGGAGAGGTGAGTGCCATGCACAGTCCTTTTCTGCCAGACCAAGGTCGTATGCCATCAAATGTTTTAGCTGTTCAACATCGTTCAGCATAACTTCGTCGGAGAAGGCAGATCCTGCAAACCCATCGGCAGAGGCTGATTCTTCTTTTGCACGTGCTTCCGTGACAGCGATCTGCTTACCGTAACAAAGAGAATTTAAAAGCATTGAATCACAATCAGAATCATCTCCACACATACTGCGGATGTAATTGGCTGCAGTGGTCGATGAAACTACGTTATACGTAATACGGTTTATCGGGCTGCGGTGAAGATTAATCTGCTGAAGGAAACGCTCCAAAATGTCAATTAAAATACATGTCCGGTAGTCGGAGTGATCATCTGCCTTAAAGCTTCGCTGTGCGAAAAGATTCCCGTCACCGGACAAAAAGTCACACTGATGTTCGATACAGCTTGCGACAAATTGGAGCCATTTCTGGCACGTTTCTTTATAGGCATTACTCCATGCGTATGAGGAGATATGAAAACCGCAATGCGGCATTCAGCTAACATGAGACGTCGGACGTCATGAGTGTCGGCTCCAAGATTCACTTCACAAGCTTCCACGCCGGAGACGGCAAGGTCGTCATCTCCGTCGATCTCACAGATCGAATGATCAAGAAAATCGAGTGAGGATGCAAGTGGGCGATCGTGCTGGTACACCGTAGATTCGGCATTTTTCTCGATGTCCGGTTTCGGAACACGAGCGCCAGTGGAAGGATCAACAAATTCTCCTGACGTGTTCATGCCATGGCAAACACGAAAAATGGCACCATGCAAAATCCAAAAGGGTGCATCTTTGGTAGAGGTTTCAATTTGGTGATGACACAAAAGTTCAATAAAGGAGCCGGTATCATGTGAGCCACGGATAAAAATTGCAACGGACTGTGACTGGATGTGAGGATGCACTACCATGCCAATCATACCGTACTCGTCGGCTAGTTCTCGATGGACGGCAATGCCACCGTACTCATCGGACGCCTCGCACAGGCACACAATATGGGCCGCATTACGGAACACTAAATGTGGCAATGCACGGTGGTTGATGTCAGTTCGTACCCATTTTGGAAATTTGGCGCAACCTCCGATATACGGAAGACGGTTGATGTGACCAAGGTTCAAAGTCAAAATACCAAGCTGATACGTGTCCTTCTGAAACTCATGGATGTTCTCCTTAGTGCGCTTGGTAACACCGAGGATTGCTCTCTTACCAAGAAGGCACGATCTGAAGAGTTCCAATAAACGGAGAATCTCTTCTGACTTAAGGTCACCGCCATCAGGGTACTTGAGGAAAGCCTCAGGTCGCCAGATCGGAAGAGGCGTCTGGCCCTGGGCATCAACAAAGTGCTCCTGGAGAGTCGGAATTCGACATCCAAATGGCATTTCATAAATGTATTCGGTATAATCAAAATCTTCAATTCCATGACGAGCAAAAGATTGAAGGTAAGTGTTTCCAATTGAGCGGCCCTCACGCAGATGCGTGATCAGTTCCGAGAATTTGTCTTGGCGATTTTGAGCATGCTCTCGACGTGTTGCGCCGAAATACGACGACTCAGCCAGTACGGCATCAACCAGTTCTTCGATGTCGAAAGGTGAGTTGGATGAGCCGATGCTGTCTGGAATAAAGTCGGAGGACAACTCTGAGGAAAAATTAACAATATTATGTTTGCAAGACAAGCCGCAGGTGCGGCATTCCAAGCAGTAGGCAAAGCCACAAGGGTGGCACCAGAACATTGCCTCTGAACATCCACATTCTTCAAAATTCTTACAGCATTGAGGACCCGCAGGGCGAGGAAACCATTGAATTTCTTCCGTGTCCTTTTTAAACTTAGTGAAAAACTTTTGGGCGGCGTCCGCATCGCGGAACAAATCCTTTGCCTGAGCGTTCATTTCACGGCGTCTTCTGGTCTTGACAACCTGTCGGCGGCCGCCCCAGGGAGATGCTGCTTGAAGATCAACTTCAGCGTCAGGATCAACTTGGCCGGATGCTGGATCGGAGCTAGCCGCAGCGGCGGCATCCTTCGGTTTCCTTGGCATAGGCTTGGCCTTAACAGGTCCTTTGGGAGCTTCACTCTCCGAGGCGGAAGACTGCTCCTTGTTTCGCTCTTTGGCAAGATGTTTCTTAAATCGTTCGGAAATTTCTGCCTTGAGAGTTTTTACTCTCTTATCTGCCTCGGTCTCAGGTGGGCCAAGCTCTTGGTCGTTCGGAGTTGCTTCTGTTCGCAGAGGCCTGGCCGGACCGGAACCGGCACTACGGAAACTTTCCAAAAACTTCTTTACAACTGGGAGTTTCTCGATTTCTTCTGCCACATACTCCATATATTCGGAACGTGACCATGTGAAACCATCTTGTTCATTCTCATTCTTCTTCTCCCAGTAAAGTTGATGGTGGCAGACATGCATGGCAAGGTCAATATTGGATGTATAATCATTCATTCGCCTTAGCTCGCCCGGTTCCGGTGCAACAAGCCAGGATCGATCAACGAAGGACCAAACACCGCAAAAGCGATTAAAAGGCACGGTCTGATCTGTGAGGACGTACCGGTTGTGAGTGATCACTGGACCAAGGCCGGTAACGGCACCAGGTCTGGCAATTAGGATGCAGTCTGATTCGGGACGTAATACGTCTCTGATCGTACTGAGTGCAGAATCAAGAGTGAAATGCACATGGTTCCTTCCACCACGGGTGCCTCCTGGGAGCAAACCTAGTCTTCGGATGGATTCAAGATTTTTCTCGTTCGCTCCATGGACGAGGTACCTTAGTGGGAAAACATCAGGCTTAAATGGGCAATGCTGAATTTCAACCTCAGTGGAATGTCCACTCTCAAAACGGATAAAAATGCTCGCAATGTCGAGACCATCAAGCAGGTCGGCTTGGCTTTCCCTGT